CAAGCCTTGAAAATGCTTCACCACCCATGCAATGACATAACGCACATTAAAGTGATAGTTAATCGTATTTGTTATTTTTTTTTAAATAACAAACCTGTTATACTTACCTGCTCTGTGCAGGTGCTGTGTGGTTTTGCACAGAGCAGCCCAGATCCTTGTCATCAGGGATGTGGTGCTCCTGGGTCCTCCTCCTTTCTGAGTACCCCCTTACCATGCCTCTTGCTAAGGGGGGATACTTGTTCAGGCTCGCTCACAAGCCTCGCTGCTTGCTTCTAAGGACACAGACAGCTAGGGGTTTTCCCCTCTTCTCTCGTGCACAGTGCTGGAGTGAGATTGGACTCAGGGGGACATCCTGCAGCACAGAAAGTTTTTTCTACCTTAATGCAGAGAATGCACTGAGGTAAAAAAAAAAAAAAAACCTTAGTGTATGTGTCAGGGTTCTGTCCACAGCAGAGGTACTCGAAAACCTGGCATTCCTGCCAGTACCTTGCACGGTGGCACAAATGCACACTGGCAAAAAATCTGTGCGCATTGGCGCACAGACACGAGCCAGAACATGCATGCGCACTGGTGCATAGTTATGCATGCATTAGCCCAGTTTGGTGCCAGACAGCCTTTATAAGGAAGCCCATCACTCCCTCAAATTTCTGAATGATCTCTGGCTCCTCAGTACCTTTTGTCCATGTTCCCTTGCTACTGTGATCTGCTGTTACCGATTTGGCTTGTTCTTGGACGTGTCTTCTCTGCCTGACTCCTGATCGCACCCGGCTTGGCTAAAGGATATTCTCACCTGCTCTCCTGATCTGACCCCAGCTTGCCTAACAGATATTCTCAGCTGCTGTCCTGAGTTGACCCCAGCTTGGCTAACGGATATTCTCACTTGCTCCCCTGTGTATGACCCCAGCTATCCTATTGACTAAGTCTGCTCCAATCTCCACCTGACATCTAACCTTGGCTTTGAACCAACTACTCTGTGGTCCTCTGCTACTCTGAAGGCCTGCGTACCTCTCACAGGCACCACCAGGGGCGGACTGACAACTCATGGGGCCCCGGGCAATAGGGGATCATGGGGACCCTGTGTCCTTGCCCAAACTCAAAAAAGCCTATAAAAAAGGTACCAGGGGCATCTCATGGGGCCCCCAACTGACCCCAAGCCCTCGGGCAGTGCCCGAGTTTCCAAATGGTCAGTCCGCCGCTGGGCACCACCTGTCTGCAGTCACCATTCCAGTACATCAGCTGTGCTCCTGGCCAACCTCTGACAAGCACTCTTACAGGCAACCCGTGCTACTTTGGGCCTGACTCCTTCTGTCCCATATCCAGGGGAGTCTGGAACTTAGCCGCAAGGGAAGCCCTCTCTCCAGTGGCCTTTAACACCAGGTACATGATAGTATGTAAACCCAACATTTCATATTCCCGATATGTGCCTGCTGTACCATGCACATGTATGAACTAGTATCCTGTTTTATTTGTATTGCTTCCTTTTGCCTGAAATCCCTGGTGTTCCTGTCAGTATCTCTGCTTTCCTCCTAAAACCTGACCACACTAAGCAGAACAGTCAGTTCTCTAATTATTCCGGGAACTCAGACTGCTCTCCTCCAACGAACAGACTCATCCTAACACCCCCCCCCCCCCCCCCCCCCCCCTTTCACTAGGAAGTGTATTGCTGTTTTTCCTCCCCTAGCTCTTATGCAGCTGAGAACAGAGGGGATGTTATCACTTAAAAAAAAAAAAAGTATTTATAATGTCCAGTAACCTCAAACTGCCCTGAGCTATTTCTTTTATTAACAAACCTACAATTACCACTTGAAGCCCATCTCCAGGCAATTTACATTATTTTAGTTTTTGTTAGAGTGAAAAGTTGAAACTTATGTTAGATTTTAAATTCTGTGTCCCTAGTGAGATTTGTCTGTCAGATTTATTTATTTCCCTTTTGGAATACAGCAATAAAATTCTGACAAGGGTTCTAACCTTTCCTCACTCTACTTAAAAATAGATTATTTTAATCATACAGTACAGGACACAGGCAGAGTAGTCCTACACCATGGATTATAGGCATATGCCTTCAGCTGATTGGACAGTTGCAAATCTTTAAAGGACACACCCTGTGGGCACCTCCCCTGTAACCCTACCTTGCTCTGAGAGTCCTCAGTTTTGTGCTAGTGTCTGAATATGATGGACCTTTTCTCCTTCACAGAGAAAATCAGTCTTAGCCTAACTAGTTTATTATTTTTCTTATTTTTTTATCTTTGGATTCTTCAATCAGTCCCTCACTGTCTTTTAATGACAACATAGATGCAATGTATCTGGATCAGTGCAACCCCAGTAAAACCTTGGGAGCAATACCTGGACACCATGCTGTAGGAACAGCCTGTAATATTGCTTCGAGCACTGAATCCTGCATAACCAATCGCCTTGGCACTTGGTGCCACATGTTAAGTTGACTTCAGGATCATATAAAGGCACAGGGCTTTGGTCTGTTGATATAGAACCCAGACTCTGAAGATCTGTTCGGGTTATGCCCACCATGATGGGCAAAGCCTTTTCTTACAGTCCAGTGCCGTGGTAAGGTAAGACAGGGCCACCATGTATTTGTTACCATTACTGTGAAAATATGTTTATGTTTGGACTGCATTCTCCTTGCAGTGTAAACCTTTCTAACATGGCACTAAAATTCTTCCATGCAAGAGCTTAATCTCAGGTGGATGACTATGTGTTACATCAGACCTCTGGTTGGACACTTTACTGCCATTTTTACCTAGAGCTTCCTCCCAACCTTGCACCATAAGGATTTGTTACAGGATGGCCTACCCTTGTTTCTCAAGCTACGTCAGATACCAAAAAACCAGACATAGAGGACAAATACACAGAAGGAAATGAAGAGAATATTGAGGCAGTATTGGAGGAAACTGCATTCTATTTTTCTTCCCCAGATTATCATTATATTGAAGAGGAAGCATCATGCAACATGCATTCTAATAATGGAAAGCCCATTGACCTGCAAACATTCCTTTTTGTCAGATTGCAATAGTAGTGAGCCCTTGTAGTTTTGCCAACTTGGGGTTCCCCAGGACGCGGAGTCTAAGCCCAGGCCTGCTTCTTCACCATGGCCCCTGATGGTGGGGATGGTCTTGCAGTAAGCTGGAACCAAGGTATTCCCAGCTGAGAATGCGAAACAAGTGTGGACTACAACAGCAGGAGACAGAAAGGAAACCAGGAAACAAGCTTAGGTCAGGGCAGGTGGTACATGGGTAGTCAGACAGGATACACAGATGGGAGCTCAGAGGACTGTGACGTTGCTCAGGCAGGAGCGCTCTGCTGAGCACATGTATAAATAGGGAAGCAAACCGGGAGATCATAGAAGGGAAAATTATATAAACCCACAGTATAGCAGGTGATGCCAAACACCATATGTGAAATGGAGTCACAGATCCAGCAGAACACTGCAACAAGGAGGTAAGAGTTTCACAAACAGAAATCTGCAGGTTGGACCGTGACATTGTTCATGAACAGATAAAATGTTCAGTCTGTGATGAATGAGTCGCTCCTGAAAGACTCCTCCCCCCAAATCTAAAATCAGTGGAAAAAGAGTTTGCAAAAAAGTGGGCTATTCTGTGATTGATTCTGCAATGTATGATCTAAACAGACATCTCGCTGTACATTTTGAAGGTGTCACTTCTTTGAGAATTGAGAATTAATCACGCAGGCCACACTGCTGTAGATCTATAAGTAGATATCTATTATAAATTGTCTGGTTAGAGTTGATACTGGGTCATGGAATCTTTATTTTTCTTTCCCTGAGTGGCATATATTTTGATGGAGTTAATTAATTACCAAAGTTGTTGGAAGTAATCATGAGCCATTTGGGGCCAAGGAGAGCCATATTTTGGGGCCAAGGAGAGATGTAATCCAGACAGAGGCTGTTATGCTTTTGGGTTTTATCCATTTGTGCTGTAATGACCTCCTATAATTTAGAAGTCTACCTGTTTGGTAAGGAGTTTGTTTTTTGAAGGAACTGGAGCACTTTGGAAAGCACCAGCTGTGGTTGGAATATTTCACAAGCACCAGTATGAGATGTTGTTTGGACCTAAAGTGGTAGTAAAGTTAAAAAAAAAAGAAAAAAAAAAAAGATTTTCCCCTGCAAGGTAAAGGCATAATGTGTTAGTATGCATCTCATACTAGCACATTATTAAAGACTTACCTTGAAACGAAGCCCTCAAGTCACTGTCACCGCTGAAGCTGCTTCCGTCTTTACACAGTCTTCCTTCTGGGTTCCCAGGCTGCTGCCACTTGAATGGCCCAGCCATGGGGATGTCACTCCCGCGCATGCACTTTGGAATCACGGCCATGGCACAGAGCACTGAAGGAACAGCACGGGTATACCGTTCCTTTAGAGCGCATGCGCTGGTGATGTCACCGGCTTCCGCTCACTAGAATATCTCCTAAACGATGCACGTTTAGGAGATATTCAATTTGCCTACAGGTAAGCTTTATAAGCTTACCTGTATGTAAAAAAATTTAAAAAAATGAGTTTTTATTATCACTTTATGACCGTTTATTTATTTATACACTATAGCACTTTTAACATTTTTTGCACTTTTGAGGTGTATGCAGTTGTGCTCAAAATGTTCCATACCCTGGCAGTAATTATGACATTTTGGCATTTATATTGAAAAGATGACTGATCATCTTTTATTTGTACATTTATTATTACATAGTTGTTTGGCTGCTTTTTAATTCATAATGGTAACATAAATCACCCAAAGAGCCCTGATCAACAGTTTACATACCTTGAAATGTTTGACCTTGGTACAGACAAACAAGGAGAGGGAAGCAGAGGCAATACGACCCAGCAAGGCAAACACATCTGAGCCAGCCTGAGTATACCTGAAAATGTTGTCAATGAAAAGTAGCACATCTTGTCCCTCGTGATCTCTGAAGTATTAAACAACAGTAAGACCAGTCAAGGCTGCACGAGCTCTGGCACATGGGTTTTCGTTCACCTACCCATATACCAGGACTGCATTTGATGTTATGTCCTTCAGGTTAATGACACTAGACTCCATCATTTCATGGTAAAGATTGTTTCCTACACGGGTACGTTCTCCCACACCAGCAAACCTTCCATGAGCTTTAGCTACGTTGATCAGCTCCATAAGCAGTACAGTTTTACCCACACCAGCACCACCACATAAACCATGTTTTCCTCCTTTAGCATATGGAGCCAAAAGGTCCACCACTTTAATGCCATTGACCAGGATCTCTTGCTCAACGCTCATTTCTACAAATTTAGGAGCCTCAGCATGGATAGCAGCAAACTGTTTTGTTGCAATTGGGCCTGTTTCATCAATGGGTTCACCATTCAGAATTCTTCCAAGGGTCTCAGGCCCCACAGGAATTCTAATTGGTGTGCCAGCATCGAGAACCTTTTGCCCTCTGACTAAACCTTCAGTACCATCCATAGCAATGGTACGAACAGTGTTTTCAACTAAGTGTTGAGCCACTTCTAGAACCAGCCTGGTGTCCCTGCCCTGGCCCTCCAGAGCATTTAGAATAGGTGGAAGGCCTTCATCAAACTGAACATCAACAACAGCTCCAATGACAGCCACAATGGCGGCCTACAGCTACACCAGGTTTAGCTGCTGGGGAAGCATGTGCTGTATAGTCTTGCTGGGAGTGCAGGGCAGCAGGAGCGCTCCTTAGCTGACCCTGGAGAGTGCTGGCGGCTGGCTCTGGTGGAGCAGCGTCCAACAGCTCCTAACATGGCGGCTGGTGTCTGTACCTCTCCTCCTCTGCTAACCGGTGGTGGTATGGATGTTCCAGACTACAGGAAGCATCCCACTGCTGCCACCAAACATGATGGAATGTCTGACACCCAGCTTGTGCCTTCCGTCAGAGAAACACTTCCTCACCACTGGGACACAGGGCCAAGGTAATATAGCCAGGCATTGCACCCAAGACTACACAGCTTGATGCAAACTGGAACTACTTTATTGAACAGAAATATACACTCCAGAAATAGGGGCAGTGCTCTCACATGAACAATAAAACAAATATTACATCCCATTACAGATAACAAGGTGAAGCTGACATCAGTCTAATTTCATCATGTAGGAGCCTCCAAAAGGACTTGCCAATAGACCCACAATAGGTGACTCATTTAACAATGGGAAGGCACACCTAGGAGGCACACAATTGGAGAAAATAGTAAACACATAACACCTTAATAAACACAGAGCAAGAGTCCTCACATCAGGTCGTTTTGCTAATTACATCCTCATCTTCTTAGAGTCTCTGAGTCTGGAAAGGAGGGCGGGTTGAAGCAGTCAATCCTGGTTTGAGCACAGAGATGCCAAATCTGTATGTTGGCCCTCCAGTTCTCAGAGTCTGTGTGTTTTGGGCAGACATAGACTTGAATCCCAAGTAAAACTACTCCAAAGGTTCCCCCCAGGCACATTTAAAGAATAGAGCTCCCTCAGATGCCAGGACCATGGTCAGTAGGCAAGCCCCTGTCCTGGTCTGTCACACTTCCTTTCTTTCCTCCCTCTCCTCCCTCTCCTCCCTTCCCCTTATTCTTATTTATTATTATTACACGTACTTATAGAATTTTATATGCCCATTGCACAAGATCAGCGGGAGTTTTCTGGGCATTATGGTACTAAATCTCTATGCACAGTTGTGTAAGGCCACCACCTGCTTTTCTGTTCATACTTTTTCACTTTCAATACATTTTTATTGAGGTATTTTCAAAATATAACATGAAAAGCCTGGCAGAAATTAGCAAAATTTCATTAGTTGCAAAAATAGTCCTAGAGAATGGAAAGTCATATATGAATACAATAAACATAAACAATCCAATAAGCAAATTTACAATAAAAGACTAGTGCTATTGAAGATCAGTCGTGGACATCCTGTTTCTTTCCTCAGTGTTTCTTGAATGATTGTTGTAGCGCTGTTTCTATCACTTTCTCATGTCTTCTGCGCTCTTTCACAGGTACATGACTGCTTGCAACATCCATGCGTACAATTCCCTTGCCATGTATGATTGATAATTGTCATTTCTATGCTTTATGGTAAATGAGTGCTTGCAATATCCTTTAAACTTGTCTATAAAATTGATGATTGAGTCTTACCTCCTTTTGATTTCATCTATCAAATACTGTATTTTTCGCTCCATAAGACGCACCTGACCATAAGACGCACCTAGGTTTTAGAGGAGAAAAACAAGAAAAAAAATATTCTGAACCAATGGACTGCAGACACAGTACAGGGGATGACCAGAGACTGCGGACATAGGACAGGAGATGACCAGAGACTGCGGACACAGTACAGGAGATGGCCAGAGACTGCGGACACAGTACAGGAGATGGCCAGAGACTGCGGACACAGTACAGGAGATGGCCAGAGACTGCGGACACAGTACAGGAGATGGCCAGAGACTGCGGACACAGTACAGGAGATGGCCAGAGACTGCGGACACAGTACAGGAGATGGCCAGAGACTGCGACACAGTACAGGAGATGGCCAGAGACTGCGGACACAGTACAGGAGATGGCCAGAGACTGCGGACACAGTACAGGAGATGACCAGAGACTGCGGACACAGTACAGGAGATGACAGAGACTGCGGGTACAGGGAATGACCAGAGACTGTGGACATAGTACAGAAGACCAGAGACTGCGGACAGTGCAGGGGATAACCAGAGACTGCAGACCGTAAAGGAGATTACCAGAGACTGCTTACCTTTGGGGAGGGAGGGGGAGAGGGTACCTGAATTTGACAGGTACCCGCTCCCACTTCCGCAGAGTTGTCCTTCCTTCTTCTTCCCGCGGCGGCTTCTGTGACAGCCGGATGCCCACTGCGCATGCGCGAGAAGCGCTGCGCTTTGTGAATGGCTCGGAGCCTTCTGAGACCTGTCATGTGTCCCAGAAGACACCGGACCATTCACAAAGTGCGGCGCTTCTCGCGCATGCGCAGTGGGCACCCGGCTGTCATAGAAGCCGCTGCGGGAAGACTGCAGTGCTGGAGCGAGGAACTGGTAAGGTCCTGCAGGAGAGAAGAGCTAAGCAGCCGTCCCAATATTCTGACATGGTGGCGGCAGAAATACCGGACTGGCCGCTTTACATTCACTCCATAAGACGCACTGACATTTTCCCCCCTTTTTGGGGGGGGGGGAAATGTGCATCTTATTTATTATTATTATTATTATTACTACGAGTTTATATAGCGCCAAAGGGTTTGCTCAGCGCTGTACAATAGTGGGGACAATACATGGCACAGTACAACAACAACAAACAACGCACGAGGGGTAAGAGGGCCCTACTCTTTCGAGCCTACAATCTAGGAGGGAGGGGGTAGAGGTACAGTAGGAAGTGGCTGAGGGGGATGAAGTGGTGGGAGGAATGAGGGAGGATGGCCGTTAGGTGAGGGTGGGGTAGGCTTCCCTGAAGAGATGGGTTTTGAGGGAGCGCCTGAATGTGAAGAGGGAAGGCGACAGTCTGATGGATTGGGGCAGTGAGTTCCAGAGGATGGGGGAGGACCTGGAGAAGTCCTGCAGTCGTGCATGGGAGGAGGAGACCAGGGAGCAGGATAGAAGGAGGTCCTGTGAGGAGCGAAGGGTACGGGTAGGGCGGTACTTGGGGATCAGGTTGGTGAGGTAGTCAGGGGCAGTGTTGTGAACGGCTTTGTAGGTCAGGGTTAGGAGTTTAAATTTGATGCGTTGGGCAATCGGGAGCCAGTGGAGGGAGAGGCAGAGGGGGGTGGCAGAGGTGGAGCGGGTGGTGAGGTGGATGAGTCTAGCCGCTGAGTTCAGGATGGTCTGGAGCGGGGAGAGCCTGCACTTGGGTAGGCCGGTGAGAAGAGAATTACAGTAGTCAAGGCGTGAGATGATGAGGGAGTGTACTAGAAGTTTGGTGGTGTCAAGGGTGAGGAAGGTACGTATCTTGGCAATGTTGCGAAGATGGAGCCTGCATGTGTTTGTGAGTGATTTGACATGCGGTTGGAGGGAGAGGTTCGAGTCAAGAATGACGCCAAGGACTTTGGCTTGCGGGGCAGGAGTGATAGTGGAGTTGTTGGTGATGATGGATAGGATGGGGGGGGGGGTGTTGGCAGGGGGAAAGATGAGGAGCTCGGTTTTGGAGAGGTTGAGCTTGAGGAAATGTAGCGACATCCAGTCTGAGATGTCATTTAGGAGGTGAGTGATGCGGGCGGAGATAGTGGGGGTGAGGTGAGGGGTGGAGAGGTGGATTTGGGTGTCGTCAGCGTAGAGGTGATAGTTGAAGCCATGAGAGTGTATGAGTTTGCCCAGGGAGGAGGTGTAGATGGAGAAGAGAAGGGGTCCAAGGACAGAGCCTTGGGGGACCCCAACAGAGAGGGGGAGGGAGGGGGAGGTGGCGCCATTGTAGGTGACACTGAAGGAGCGTTGGGATAGGTAGGATGAGAACCAAGAGAGCGCAGTATCTCCGATGCCAAGGGAGAGTAGTTTATTAAGGAGGAGGGGGTGGTCAACTGTGTCGAAGGCCGCAGAGAGGTCCAGGAGAAGGAGGACAGAGTAGTCGCCCTTGGCTTTGGCGTTTAGTAAGTCGTTAGTGATTTTGAGGAGGGCAGTTTCAGTGGAGTGTAGGGGACGGAAGCCGGACTGTAGAGGGTCAAGGAGGTTATTGTCTGTAAGGTGGGAGCTTAGGTGATCGTAGACTATGCTTTCAAGGAGCTTGGAGGTGAGTGGCAGCAGGGAGATGGGTCTGAGGTTGTTGGGGTCCGCGGGATCCAGGGAGGGCTTTTTGAGGATGGGGGTGATATGCGCGTGCTTTAGGGGGGAGAGGAATCTTATGGAGCGAAAATACGGTAATCAATTGCCTTTTATGACTATGGCCTATGTCTGTGGCTAGTCTGTTTTTTGACGATTTCCCCTTCCAGTCAAGTGTCTGTTATCAGTTCCTTATTTGATCAATTGGCAATTGCTTTCCTGCCCCATCTCCGTATAAATTTAGATCAGCTTATGGGAAAGTTGAAAACAGGGGTCAGTCGTGAACACGGTGTTTCTCTTCTGAGCGTTTCTTGAATGAGTGTTGTAGCAGTTTCAACACAGCAGCTTAACAAAAGCAGTATGAATACATAACTAGATACAACAAGAACTCTGCTCCACTGTGGAAAGATGGCAGGCAAACCAACATTTGAAAATTCAATTTCTACATCTGATTCCCACTCTCTTCCCACTAATATGTTCCCTCCATGCGTTTTCTTCTCACATTAGTGTTTTCTGTCCTCAAAAAGTCCTCACTTTACCCCTCCTTTCTACCCCACAGCTCATCCATATCACCCTCATTCCTACCCTCTCCCTATTACTGCACCCAGCGTCTCCTGCAAATACTGAACCCACGTGCTGACAAACACCAGGACAGTGAGATATGTACGCTCATATACATCCCGTTCCCATCTTACTTTCCTCACCCTCCTTATCCTAATTTTTCTACTCTGCCGACAGCCGCAATCCACTTAACATTTATCCCCTTGATTCCAAACACCCCCAATCTCATATGCCCTCTGAAATGCCTGCTCTGTCTGTAGCAAGTTAACATATGTGCATGACACTTTTATTTCCCAATGCTTTAACATATTTGCCCTGAGCACAGACAGGGTGGAAGAGGCCACCCTGTCACCACCTGACACTCAACCATGCTCCAGCCCTTCTACTGCAGCTACAGCAGCTACTCACTCAGAACATGGTGCACAGCACCCTTCCAGCACAGAAAGTATGCCCACCTGGACCCCCTGGACAAGCTGCTGAGCCCACCATAGCAGATAGTCTCCAAGCAGTTCAACAATGCCATTCACACCCTGACATGTCAAGTACAAAAATAAAAGAACAAAAATAAAAAAACTGCTAACAGCAGTGAGGTGGCCCCAAGACGGTAAAAAGTAGGCCCATTGTAGGACTGTAATAAAGGGTGCTGCAACAGGAGTAAAGGGCCCCCGGGATCAGTGGGAAGGACATTGGCTGTTGATCAGGGGAGACCTTCATGGTTGCTTGCACAGGGGCCCTAAAGGTTCTAGTTACACCTCTGTCTGTTTGTATTCAACCAGACAGGAGCATTGTTGGACGATTTGTTGGGTATTAGGTGGTGGTTGTTCAGGCAAAGTTTGCAGAGAGGTCATCTTAGTTTGTGGCCACTTGGCCTGAATTGCGGTAGTTTTAAGGCTAGTTGTAGTTATTTTGTTCAGTTTTGAGGGAACTGCAGAGCTCTTCCCTATAATGTGAAAAATATATAGTGAAAGGATGGTGCAGAAGAAAAGGGTCCACAAATGGTAGGATAAGGTGGGGTTATGCGAGGTAACTGTGCACCAGCTGGACACTAAGCTGTGGACAAATACTTGTGTTGCCTAGATCGATTGTAAAGTAAATTGAGCATTATAAAAGCTGTGAAGCAGCCAGCTATAAGGAAAGGAATGGCTCACAGCTAGATTAGTGGCAGGCAGATGACAGTTATGTCTCAAAGCAGTAGAAAGGTTTCTTCTTTCTCCAGAGTGGAGGAGAGAGTGAGGCACAAGAGGGTTAGGAGGATATGGATCAGAGTACCTTGTTGGGTCCAAGAATCAGTGTAGCTACAAAGGTGGAGTGAAAGAGATCCCAATGTATGCAGATGGTGCCATGTGACCAGGTCAACAGGAAATTGCCAATATGAAGAGTGAAGCTCACAAGTAAATACAGCTTCCAAGTATTGCAGGCACTCTGTGTGCTCATGCTGGAGGGTTCTAATCATTGCTGTGAGTGAGAGGAGAGAGAACATGAACCACCGATCAGAGGCAGGGAAATGCAGCCTCAGATGCAAATGTGCTGATCAGTAGCAGAGCTGCTAGTGAGTCTAGCGATCAGGATTTCCGCAGCAGGCACTAGCTCCCAAACTGTCCCTGATGGTTCACAAGGTGATTGGGAGGGACAAAGTATACAGAAGGGGTAATGAGAGACGTGGGACAGAGGTGATCCTACTGCGGGCAAGCCTGGAGGAACAGGAGCCAGCTCAGAATGCAGCCATCTTGGTCAACTGCTCAATAGTGCCCCGTTTTCTGTTCATACTTTTTCAAAGTTTACCACGTGGACATCCAGTCTTCTGCAGCTTTTGGATTCAAGGTTCTCGCAGCAGCACACTGAGGTTGGTTTTTCTGACCTTTGTTGTTTGGGCCTGTTGGTACTGTTCTGTTTGCTTCATTGTTGGCACTGTTCTGTTTGCTTCATTGTTGGCACTGTTCTGTTTGCTTCATTGTTGCCCACCTTTCTTATTCATTGCTTAGAGACACCCCACTGTGTCCTGTACTGTACATTAAGTATAATAAGAATTTTGAATCACATCGCAATCACATCCCCGTGACAAAGCCACGTGGACCTGTGGCGCAATGTGTAGGGTAGGGGCTCTGATGTCATCACACACCCAGGACGACGAGTATAGGCTGTGTACGGCACACACACAAAGAGGAGGCTATTTTGTATATACAAAGCGCACTATGTTTTTTAATAATGTGAGTGCAATGTTGGGCACTAAAGTAAATTTTAAAAAAGGATAAGGCACTATATCTCCTTTCTTTTATGCAATTAACACGGAGGAGAATCTAGGAGAGGATCGGGGGGATGGAGGAGAAATCCCGCAGCACAAGGAGGGAGAGATCCCAGCAGTCATATCTGCAGACAAGGAGAATATTACTAAGGAGCTCCCAGGGAATATCCATCATCCATTAAATCCCAATGGCTCAACAAACGATTCCATCAGGTTCTAATTATGGACACAAAGTGATGTTTTACTAAATATAATATTAGGCTTACATGGAGGTGAGCGCATACTAAAATCATAAATAAGAGCATACAAGATTCTGCAAATATCGTTCTGGATAAGGATTTATGGGACTGTCACTATTTATTTAAATGTATACTTATTTTATTTTAGTTTTTATCACATTTGAGTTGAAATAATTTATTATATGGCACAGTTGATTAATGTTAATATTTTCTCTCAATAATTGAATAATTTATCACATTAATTAGATAAGTGAATATATGGTATAAGGCACATTTGATTATATGTTGAGTCAAGGATTCAAATCACTGGGAATTATTTTGTGATATATTATTTAGATATTTTTAATTTTGGAGCACGACATTTTGATTTTTTAATGATCTGGTACTAATACACATGTTAATGAGGATGTGATTAATGTCAGCGAACCACAACACTTATTAATTCACAACCATAAGAGTGGCTCACAAGTATAAATTTATACATTTGATAAACTAAAAGTCAAGGAGCGTTTCCCTCACTTCCTGTACAGATACCTACTGTATCAGATAGATAGAAAGTAAGGGGAAATATGCCAAACGGGGACACAGACACAATTAAAATAGACAAAAGTTAACTTCCCCCCCTGGAGTTGGTTTATAAAACATGAGATATACTGTGTGTATTTTGTTTCCTAAGCATGTACACATAAAATTATTTTTATTATTGTTTTTTATTATCACTATCATTATTTACCTTTGTTGATACAGGGCAGGACTTAAGATCAAAGCAAGGAAAAGGGTGGTCTTGGGAGGAAGCTTACTTTAAATGACATGTACAGCACAATGGTGTCACTAGGGTTGGTGTCAACTATTGCAGTAAAACATGGTGTCACCCGACCCCCAATAATTTTTGTAACCTGCGTTTGGGGTGTCATTAACTTTGCACTGACATCTGCAGCAGATTGCATGGGCAGTGCAAATGGAAAGTAGTACGGTCAGCTGCACAGGAATGTGGTTTTCACGCACCACATTCTAGTGTGAAAGACCCTAAAACTGTGAAGCAGTCCTATGCAACCCAGGATAGTGAAGCAGACAACTCTTAGGGCCTATTAACACTGGTATGCAGTGCAGGAAACCCGTGTTCCGTGCACATTTCCCACTCTGCATTCCAAACGCACTGCCCTTGCGATCCTCAACAGGTGTCAATGCAAAGTTCAGGACGCCCCAAATGCAGGTCGCAATTGCAGTGCATTTGTTGAACCAGATTGTATGATACAGAAGTACCATGCAATCCAGCTGCAGTACATTTCCAAAAGTAGTGCATGCACTACTTTTGGTGTGGTGCAGTGTGATTTCAGTCCATTTGAAATTAATGGTCTGAAAACGCACTGCATCATACTGCACTCAGATCAAATGTGAATCACACCGGAATGTGTTATTGAGAATGGGCCCTGAAGCTGAAAAAATAAAGAACCCAGTTCAAATAGAGCATTAAACAAAAACTATAAGGCACTCACAAACGGAGAAGTGATCATTCATTAAAATAAAACTGTGTGGAAGATGACACAGTGCACCCGATCACAGTTTGAATGGGTAGGAGAGTTGGCTGGAGCAGACCGAGAGGGGATCTATCACCACTTGGAGCTGAGATTCTGGAGTCTTCATGCTACACTGGCCTCTGTAAAAAAGTCCCACATTCTCAGCTCCTATGATGGGCCAGTGTGACGTCTACCATAGGAGCTGGTCCAGGAGGCAGGACCTGGTTTGACAGCGGCTGGCATTTCAGCTCCAAGCTGTGTGACATCAGGAGATCCCCTCTCTGTCTGCTCAGCCGGTTCTCCTCCCCATTCAAACTGTGATCGGATGAACTGTGTAATCTTCACTTCAGTTTTGATTAATGGCTGGTCGCTTCTCCATTGCTTCTGGTGGCCCTGCATGTCTGCAGCGGAAGCAGTACAGCTTTTCAGAGGGCATCAAAATGGCCCGGGGGACAATTGGCCCAGTCTACATCTGGTGTCACCATTCGGGCGGGTGTCACCTGGGTGCAATCCACACCCCCGTAGCAATGCCACTGATACAGCAACAGATGCATATATACAGTAGATCAGTATTTCCAAATTATCTGTGTAATATTTTATTTTATATACAAATATTTTTACATTTTACTCTTGGTAGCTGAGTTACTGGAGCCATAAACAAAGAACAACTGAAGACAGCTGTAGTGAGAGCCTGGCAAAGCATCAGAAAGGAGGAAACCCAGTCTTTGGTAATGTCCCTGGGTTCCAGACTTCAGGCAGTCATTGCCAGTAAAGGCTTCAACAGAATATTAAAAATGAACATTTTATTTATGATTATATTAATTTGTCCAATTACATTTGAGCCCCTGAAAATGGAGGGACTCTGTATAAAATGGTTGCAGTTCCTAAAATTTGTACTTGATATGTATGTTCAACCCCTTGAATTAAAGCTGAAAGTCTGCACTTCAAATTCATTTGGATTGTTTCATTTTAGTTTATTCTGGTGGCATACGGAGCCGAAAGTATGAAAATTGTGTGTACATAATCAATAAACTGTACATAATCATTTCACTGAGTTATGTTCTCTGTTCTAAAAAATCATAAATATGGGAGGGGAAGTTGCCCATGCCAATTTTTTTCATGGGCAAAATTATAGCAATCCCTATTTCCTGTGAAAAAAAAATGTGAACTATCTGCTGAACTTTTGTAAATAAGCCCCTAAAATCAATAGTTGCATGTCCTTTTTCTACAGGTGATGTGTTCATCCTTGTCTTCAGCATAGACAACAGAGAAACATTTGATGAAGTCAAGAGACTAAGAAAACAAATCTTGGAAGTAAAGTCATGTGTCAAAAATAAGGCAAAAGAAACTGGAGAATTTCCCATGATGATCTGTGGAAATAAAAGTGATTGTGGAGAGCATCACCGCAAAGTGCGGACTGAAGAAGCAGAAAGGCTAGCCTCTGAAGATGAAAATTGTGCTTACTTTGAAATTTCTGCAAAAAAGAATATTAACGTGGATAAAATGTTTCAGGTTCTTTTCAGTATAGCCAAGCTTCCTAATGAAATGAGTCCTGCCCTTCATAGGAAGATCTCTATGCAGTATGGAGACACATTTCAACAGAAGTCTTTTAGGTTAAGAAGGCTCAAGGAAATGGATGCCTATGGCATGATATCCCCTTCTGCTAGACGTCCTAGTGTCAACAGTGATCTGAAATATATTAAAGCAAAAGTTCTAGGAGAAGGACAGAGCCGGGACAGAGAGAAGTGCACTATACAGTGAAGATATTTGAAGATAACTGCTATTTTAGAATGGCTTTGGGATTAGTTCAGGGAATACAGGATTCACAGATTTGTTCTCACACTGTGTCTGTTACCTTTATAAGTCTGTGGAATCCTTACTTTTAGGCATGGACCTAAAAAACGCTAAATGTTATAGAATTCAGAGTCTTTACATTTGATTATCAAGAATTTACTTGTTTTAAATAATACAAACATAGACCAGTATGAATTTACACTCTGTAAATATTAATGGGCCATAGCTGAAGTTCCCCTTCTGGATATTTACAGATAAAGTTTATTTGGGCCTTTTGATATTATTTGTCAATAATAGGATATCCAATATATTATTTGGGTATTTGTACAGGTACATTGAATTGTACAATTTCTGTTAATGCACACATTAAAATAGACAGAAATCTCCAATGTATTATATCCTTTGATCCTTAACCTGTTTTTTAAAGTTGTTTGATTTGAGTATATGCAATTAACTCAATATATTATAGTCCATAGTCAGCATTTGGACACACTACACAGTACAGTCTTGGTAAGTTAAAAAAACAAGCAAACCTTTATGGTCAACCTTATGTAGCTAGTAAGTAACTAAATCTATGTGGACATTCTAAGAAAGCTTGGGTAGGGTTGCCACTTATACATATTTGAAATGGACATTCTAGTTTAATACTGCTATGTACAGTGTCTGGTTTGGCTGTTTCTGTGTAAATAAAGCTGGCTGACTCTATTCATACTGTTGTAATTTTAAAGGTGTTACAATATATTGTTTTAGTACTTATGTACAGACCAAAGACTTTTCCTTTCATCTCCACAAGAATTCAGTTCAAGTAAACCTACACGTTAAAAAATTAAACAAGACAAAGTGTGATTAGGCTGTTAATCCCTTAGTAACTTATCTGCTTAGCTAATGTATGCCTATTTACTTCCCTAATATTTACTTTCACTGATCATATGTTACCATCTGTTTTCATACATTTTCCTTGTTAATATTTGTTGGGTCACATTAAAAGTACGTAACCTTAAAAAAAAAAAACTATTTGTAAAAAACGTATCTATTGTACTTAATCAGCTTTCATGCTTTACTATGTTCACATGCTTATTAAGAATAAATCACATTGGTTTAACTATGCCTGTTGAGCCATCACCACTTTAAATAAGTTACACACACAGCCATTAGGCAATATGATGATGTTTGCATATATGGTTGCATGACTTGTCATTTTTTTTTTTATATGTAGTGCTATTCCTGTAGGAACTGCAGGGATACTGTTCAGGTCTTCCCCAAAAGCTTTGCCCCGCAGTCAGGCACATAGCCTCACTCACACATTTATTCAATGACCAGTCTAGGGGTGTTTTTATTTTTAGAGAACTTGGATAGGGTTGAGGGAATTAGGTGGGATACTCCAAAAACAAGAACTATATACAGTTGAAGACTTTAGGTATTCTTTCAGATAAGCTATGTTGAAATCGATTTTAGCAGAAACCGGGTCTCAACATTCAGGCCCTCGGGTCGTCCACCTGAGGCCTATGACAGTAGTTGCATCAGCATTGCCTGGGAGGGCAGCATGCCCTCTCCAGGTTGGAACAGTCAGTGTAATCACTGAATATATACAGGTACCCAGTATGCCATCAGAGCCTCTCTCTCTGGGATAGGTCAAGGCTGCCATTTGCACAACTCCACACCTATTATCCAGCAACTCCTCAAGTTTTCTGGATGCAGAGGGAGCCATCAGGCTGGCAGCAGTTGAACATACTGAGTAGACCTCACTAGAATACAGCAACACTGATTAAAGTGTGCAAGTTATGCTTTTACCTAACAATAATTATAACCACACTGTCTACAGTGTGACAACCAACTTTATCTATCACAATACAAACTAAATCTATCCCCTGATAAAGTCACGTGTGTTGTGACATAATGCGTAGGGCAGGGCTGATGAAGTCAAGCCACACAGCCAGAGGTCTGCAATCTGCCAGCTTGTGAGTGTCTGGGCACCAGTACCCTTAAGAGAAAAAAGGCTTGTTTACTGTTGAGCATTTAAATGTCAGTTTTTAAAACTATTTTTAAATAAATATTGGTGGAGATCAGTGTTTCCAACCTACCAGATTGAAATTCACTGGCACAATAGCCAAAACTTACTGACAAAACTAATTTTGTAACTGCCAGTTAAAATTTTGCTGTAAGTGCAAATTTCAGTGTTTAAGCTGCAAACAAGTACAATATGCAATTAGCAATGTAATTTAAGGTAGATATTAAGGTGAAAAAAACATATTACTTTTGGTATTTTTGAGCCCTGAGTAGAACCCTTGCAAAACCTATACTACACAAGCGTTTTTGCAACTGACACACACACACACACACACACACACACACAAAGAGTGGGTTCCCCAGATCCTTCAAAGCAGCCATATCTCATTGAGGACATTGGAGGCAGTCCTAACAAAAGGAAGTTCCATCCAAGTTATGTATGATTTGATAAGTATCCAGTTGCAGAAATAAGATTTAGAGACACATACTCATTAAACCTTTTCCTCAGCTATAATAGTATGATGGCATTTTCTTAAAGTGTACCTCTCCTGTGCCCAGACTATGTACAAAGTCTGACTCCATGACCGCCAACATCCCACTGCTGCAAATGAGGCTGCTCGGCTCCTGAGTTGGCGCGGTGGTGGCAGGAAATTACATCATCACAGGTCACATCATGCCCCGGCATCGCCTCCCATTTCTCTGCAGGTCAGTCTCCCCCACTCCCGCCGGCACGGGTTGAGTCTTGCTCGCACTCAGAATATCTTCGATCATGTCGGATGGTCTTATGCGGCTCCGGTCCGAAACTGCACCCATCACAGGCTTTTTAACTGGCACGCTTTTCCCTTCATGGCCATTTACAGCATGAAAAAATTGCCTCGTTTTTACTAGTTGCCTGTAAAAACACAGACAGTTGGCAACACTCGTGGAAACTGTTTTACGCTATGATGGTTAATCTTCATGTGAGTTTTGGTGTAAGGTATTTGGCATGATCAAGGAGGATGGAAATGGATTGCACATCTGGAATACACAAGTCTCGAGAAATACCTGTATCTATATAATATATATATTAAGCTATATCTACCCGGTTTAAAGGGAAAAGCGCTATTTGACCTAACAATATTTTGGGTCAGATATTGGCTGTGCATATACAGTATGTGTCGGTGGAGGGAAGAGCACTGTAATTGATGAGTGTCAAAAGCAGATTATATGGATTACACATTAATTGATCGCAAATTAATTGGGACATTCATATCAATAATGGCACGTTTATACAGCACTTGGATAATTTAATATTAAATGTTAGTGTATATTGATGGTTTAACACTAATGGATAGATTACCAAAAGGACATTTATTTCCTAATAAGGTCACTATGCACATTGTTAAAATGCATACAAATATCTAAAAAGAAAGGGGCGCTAGATCTATATAGTGGAGCAGCTTAGCATAAAAGGGTAAAACCTCAGAAAACCTCTTGGAAAAAACATCAATATGTAAAACAAACATGCAGCGCTCCTAAATGGTATGAAACAAACAACATAGAAAACAAATATATATTACTCCCAGTTTAACATATATGCTTATATGTATGCAAAATGGTGCATGACGCACATAGCTTTAAAACGCCGTGCGTAGATAAGTTCATAGAAGCGTGAAGATGGGTGACAGTCTGTTTCTAGTGAACATCAAACATTCGTGATATCAGATGGTGAGGAAATGAGAATATTATGCACTAACCAGATAGCGCTATATAAAACGCATGTAGATGATGAGATCATCTAGGTGTGAGCATCTGGACCCAGGTGTTCTGATTATGGCAACATCTATCACAGCATTTCCACAGGATTTCCAAATGGCAGAGCTCTGATTGAAGACCACCAGAGGGAGCCAGCAACCAGGATCTCTTCAGACCAGGTATCCCAAGGCATATAGTGTGTTCACCGACCACCAGAGGGAGAAAGAGCTCAGGAGAATATCCAATAATATCCTTAGGGAAAATTGGCTCAAGCAAAAAAGAGCCAAAGAACAAAAAATATCTAAGTGCAGCATTACTTTATTCAAAGATGCAGAGAAATGATAAAATATACAACTCACATGATATGAAAAAGCCCATTGGCCAGACAAAATAGGTCCACGTGGTTAAAAGGTCACTGAGGGCAGCCTTCTGACATGTTTCGTGCCAAGCACGTTCTCAAAGAAAGCTGGCCCCCTCAGTGACTGATCAAGCATATATATAGAGGAACAGATTCCCTTCAATTCAATTGAAATTGGCGTTCCCGCCGTTCACGCATGCGCAGATCGCGCTTGCCGGTTCGCGCCCACGGCGGCCATTTTATTGAAGTTCAATGCATATTTGGCTTCTAATTGCAGACATGGGAAGTGATCAGCCAGAGTGTATGGATGGTCACTCTACTATCACTTCTCTCCCATGTTTGAAGCATGATATTACAATGCTAATACCCTCTATCGATATGCATATTTGGTACTGGAAGGCAGAGTATACATCCTAGAGATGAATGATTGGGGAAATATAAACTTATAACAGGGATCTTACTCAAAGTAATCACCTGTTTGTTTAGTGTGAGGATCTATTAGTTTAGCAGTCCTGTGGAACTACAGGTGCCAGAATTTTCTTCCCAAACCTGTATATACCCCTATAGATAATCGATATTACACACCACAACAATATGAAACTTAGTGAAAAGCATGCTAAATTCATAAAACTGGTTAAAAATGTGAACCCAATGATTATATTTTATAAATCACATATATGATATGAGCATAAAATAATTAAATTACAATCATAAAAATATAAAATTCAATCTATAAAATTAGTATAATTAGTAATAATTTCATAGGAATAAATTGTGTACTTCAATCTGAATGAGCCTGATGGGATGGCGTACATAAAAATAGTAGTAAAACGTATCAGGTGGCAAAGAGGACCTGTCATAACTTAGT